CACCTGACAAGAAAGCCATGGGGCCAGATGGCATTGCCTATGAGCACATGAAGGGGTCCCTATCATGTATAGCAAACCTGTGGACTGCCATATACAACTGCTGTCTAGATACAGGTCAAGTGGCACAAGATTGGAAGACTGGGTATCTGAAGGTGTTATACAAGGGGAAAGGAGCCCAGGAGGACGCAAACAACTACAGGGGGATTGCACTTCTAGGGAATCCCTACAAGGTGCTGACAAAAATGATAGCACAACGCTTATCCATATATACTCAATACTCTCTTCCTGATGAGCAGTATGGATTTAGGAAAAAGAGAGCCACCACAAATGCCATCAGTGTGCTCAACAGGGATATTCACCATCAACTCTCGAGGAAAGGTCAAGTACTCTTTGCTGTCTTCGTTGACTTCAAAAAGGCCTTCGATTCAGTGAACAGACATCACCTCATCCAAAAGCTAGTACACCACTTCAGTATCAGAGGTCCCCTACTCAAGCTCATCTGTAGTATCCTCAGCGCAAATGAGGTGGTTGTGGACGATGGACTCAGGAAGACAAGACCCATCAAACAGACACGTGGAGTTCCTCAAGGGGACTCACTGAGCCCCCTACTATTCATCCTACTATCACATGACCTTCCAGCCTCTATCAAGAGGAGCTGCACATCTCTCAAGGTATTAATGTACGCTGATGATGTGGTATTCTACTCAGCTGCCCGTACAGCCATCCAGAAAGGCCTTGAGGCACTTGAGAGATGGTCATCCAATAACCATCTGGAAGTAAACACCACCAAGACCAAGGTTATGAAGTTCCGCCGAGGTGGGAGACTGGCACGGGATGACCGATTCCAGTTCAGGGGACAGGCCTTGGAAATCACTAATTCCTACGAATACCTAGGAGTGATCTTCCAAACAACAGGCTGCTTCACCAAACACATACAGTCAAAGGTACAGAAATGTGCCAGCGCCACATTCTCAATCAAGAACCTTCAAAAACTCTCCCTCGGTGCAGCTCTGAAACTCTTTGCAATAAAGATTCAACCCATCCTAATTTATGCTATCCCAACCATATGGGAACATCTGACAGTGGCCAATTTACACAGCATGGACATGGTAAAAGCCACATATCTTAAGAGAGTGCTGGGATTACCAAGAAATGCCCAAAACAGGTTGGTCTACCTGATGGCGGGAACAAAATCCCTCATGGAGGAGGTTGCCTGGGATTTTAACCTCCCTCCCACTTCAAATTTCCAGGCATATTTGGAAGAAGTCCAAGATAAGTGGTCCCACATCCCATCTGAATTTAGGTCTTCCCCAGGGATGACCCAACAACATTGGAAGGAGTGTAACTCGGGAAACAGACACCTAGTAACCCGAGTATCAATACATGGGTTCCACTTCAAACTCTGCAAAAGACCAGATTTCCATTCTCCAATGCCAGACTGCATTTGCTCCTTATGTAGTGGATGTGCATCCCATCTCTACCATCTATTACAATGTCCAGGGAACACAAAATCCCTCAAAGCATGGGATAGCAGTGAATAACTGCTACCGCACATGTGTGATTTTCAACCCTATCTGCTCCTTCATGATTGTCCTATTGTGATCTCCTTCTCTACCTCCACCTTGGTGCAATAAAATAAATAATACTTGAAATAAAAGGAAGATATGTATTGCAAAATTGATGAGGTGTCTGTTAAAAGTTCTCCAGTGTCATTGTTACGAATTTTTGTCAATGTCTGATTGACAGCTCTTCTAGGGAAAAGAAAAAGTTCGTTGGGGCATCAAGTAAGTTGAAAGTAGTGCGCTTGGAGCGAATCATGGCTCCTTCGGCTGCGGATTGATGAAACTGTGTAAGAAGATTTTTTTCATTAAAAAAATATGTCTGAAGTGTGTGAAGTTGGATCTTTGGAAGCGACAGACTTAAAAGACGTGTAGGACTATGTGCATATTATAATGGATGATTTGGTATTTTCCCACCACGTTAGCAGAGGCTGTGCAGTCTTCGTAAAGACTAGTTGTGACCAAAGAGAAATAACGAAGTTTCAAAATTCAGGATCTAAAAGAAGAGAATTATTAAAATGCCAATAAGCAGAGCCTTTGAAACTCTGAACAGGAGAGGAAATTGAAATTGACACTGGGCAACGGTCAGATAGAACTGTTGTGGACTGAATGCTTACTTTTGTAAGCTGAGTAAAAGTGTTGCAGTTTGCATAAAACCGATCTAAGCATTCAACATTTCTTCAGCGTTGAGGAAAATGAATTTTCAACAAGGAGTCAACGTCGATAAGCAAATGTTGAATCAACGTTGCAATTTTGGTAATAAACATTGAATCAATGTTGACATACCGTTGATGTCAACGTTGAATCAATTGTTGATATAAATAAACTTTCAACATAGAATCAATGTTGACAGGCAACGTGGTTTCCACATTAGCTGCGTTGACGAAATAACGCTGAATCAACGTTGATTCACCGCGAGTGCGCTACTTCGGATCATGAAATGAAGAAAGTTTTAATCCTAAAGTGGTTTCTTTGGTCATCCAAAGAAAGGACAGACTCACATGAAACAACTTCGCCTGCGTCAGCATTGCTTATATGTTGATTAAAAAGACGCTTTAATACGGCATCAATCCTTTAACGTTGATTCCATGTTGATTTGATGTAGAAAAGAGCAATATTGCGAGAACGTCGTCCTGTCAACGTTACATCAACAGATGTCAGGTGAGACATCAAGCGAAACATGCGAACAAGCATGAATTCCTGACTGCGAAATGTGATGGCGACTAATGGCCCAACATGGTTTGGTACCTTATATTTGCAATCAGTACGCGTCTCTAGTACTTTTGGAAAAGAATATATCTAACTATCTAGAAGAGGAGAAAATTAGAATATATCTAACTATTGTCGTCACTTCACTTCTACACCAAGACCTTTATGGCATACATGAACATGCCGGTGCCTATATTGGAAAATAGGTCTGACTTAGTAAGGTTTTGAATCTTTGCTCCTAGTTATGCGAGCCGAAAATGCCATTCTGATTGATGCGGCGAAATTTGAGGGCCTTTCAGCCACAGTAGCTCTAAATCGAACGTTCTTCTTGAAAGGAATTTCTTCCTGGTAGTATCACTCAATCGAGTGACTGAGAACACTGATGGAGGAAGCATAAAAAAAAAATGTACTGCAGATACTTGGACCATGAATGGCCCAGCATTGAATGAATGTTGGCCCAATGTGGGTGTATGAACGGTGACGGCCACAGCGTTGAATCAATGTTCATGAGACATGGATGTAAGGACATTCATGCATTCAATCCACACCTAGTCAAAGATGATTCCACGCCTCATTCCGAGCACGTCAGGGTCTCCGTCGGGAATGAAAATATCTGATTTCGACGAGCTTCCCCGAGCGGATTCTCCAATAAGACGTCTTCCTTATTGGTCGAGGGTGTGCATATATACTGACGTTCCTTTCGTTCGGGGCAACGAGAAGGCCAAAATCCAAATGCTTATCTTGTGACCCTCGCAACCCCCTTATCTGGTCATTTCTGGGTCACTCCTATCTTGGAGGAAATTCATTTTTCGATGAGATATGAATCGCGTGAGGCGTTTCCCGCATCACCAGCAGCGCAAGACACAGCTGCGAGGGAATTCACGCGCCGGTCTTGATAAGAGGGCGTGAATGGAACAACCGTGAGAGCAATGGGAGACTCCGCTCCCACGCGACGAGTTCTGCCTCTCGCGTCTTTCATGTTGCAGCGAGCTACTCCGTTCCGATTTTCTGCGTCACCCGAAACGATCTCATTAGGTTCTGTAACTAATATCAGTGAACAGGAATGCCTCGGTAGATGAAAGAAGAAAATATTAACGGGATGGAGAAATCATTACGGTTGGAGTGATCCCTTTGAGCGATGCTTTCTGGAAGTTAAATCTAGCTCTCCGATTACTACTAAGAAAGTGCCATTTGATTGTATCCCCAGGGGGTATCATTTTTTGGCAGGTTCGTCAAATTTTATCGGACAAAAGAAATAACTCTAACTTTACTAGAAAAACAGTTTTCCTAAAATTATCTGCGTGAAACACTTTAGATTAGGGTCCTCTCGCCTCGATGCTTTTTCGTGAACGGGAAATCGTTGCGGGGAAATTTTCGCCGCATTGAACAATCAAATTCCGCACAAAAATTTGACTCCTTTTGGATTGCATACAAATCCTCCTCATCCTAAAAAAAAAAAAGCCTCTACTCACTAGGAAAGGTTATTTCCCCCTATTTGCTAGATTTTCCGCGTTCTTCTGGGAGTCGTTACCCTACGCTGGTGTTTTCGGAGGAACGAACGAGATGGAGGCACGCAGCAAATCTGCGGTGCTGGGTCAAGGTGCGAACGGGAGCGTGAAAATTCCACGTGCATATTTCGACTTCTCGCTACGACTTGCAGCCCAGTCACAAGCCTTTCCTTCATCGCCGGTCGAACCATTTCCGAGGGCTTCCCTCCTTTGCCTCCTCCAAAACCAGCTGGAGGAAAAGCGCTTTCATCGCGGTCTCACCTTCGCCTTTCTTCCTGAAGTTTTAATTCCCTCCTTCATTGCATTCGCGGTCGACCTGCTGCACAAAACCGGTTGCCGATCCTCGATGTGCCCTCGGTACCCATTTCTGTGTTTCCTTTTTGCCCGTGATTGATTCTTACTTCATTCAGGCAGAATTTGTTCTCGAAGCGGGTTGGAAAGTACTTTCCACCATCTTAGGAGGTTTGAGAAAGAACTCTCCCATTTCCAAGGAACCACTTGATCGGTTCTTGAACCTACCCGTGTGAGGCGCAATAAAACCCATTTCATGAGGTTCTGCATGTTTCCCAATTCGTGAAGTTAGTTGTGGTTTTGAATTCCGTTCCGATGACCCTACTCCGGGAGGAAGTGGCTCTTTTGCTAACTGCTATAAAACTGCTATAGTATTGGAATAAACGGACAGAGACAAGAATAAGCAAATTTATTTCTCCTCTTTATCCAGACATCACGACTGATGAGAAATGCTGCCGACGGACATCGGTTTCAGAAGTTTCTTGCACACAAACGGATATTCCTTGTCGCCGGGAAGGTCGTCCCGGATCGACTGATCCTTCGACACGAGAGCAAATCCATCTTCGAAGTGGAATTTGGAGCTGACGTCGACGTCATCGAAAGCACTTCCGTCCGTCCAAATCGATCTCGAGCCGTGTTTCTTGAGCCCGATCCACAGCGGCGATGATGGAGCATTTGCACCTAAATCGCATTAAAAAGCATCATCACTATGTAGCCGGCGAACATGACAAACATAATCAATCCGCAAACATAATCCATATGCTTCAGTACAGGTATAAAACGCACAGGTACTCCTTCATGCCTTAAATTCCTAAAAATATTCATTGCTTGACTTTGTATGTTCATTATTTCGTGAAATAAATATAACAACGAGTGCTGATGGAAACTGAAACAGTGAAAAGATTATAAACAGACTGATGAAAGAGTATTCCTCTTCGCTGTGGACGCTGGCGAGGTTAGCCCCTGCCTTCTCGCATTCCAGTTGTGCTTCGGGGGCCGTCTTCGGCTCCTCCTCGAACGAGTAGCAGGCGCCTTCGTGTCCGAGCCAGCCTTCTTCGCATTTCGCTAGGTAGGAATAGTACTCGGCAAAGAATCCCCTGAAAACAGACACGTAATAATGACGAGTAAATGCTTGTTTTTCAGTAGCTGGTTATCACCGAAGATGTGGTAACCTTGAATGAGAATATGCAAAAGTAATTGAAAGGCGTGCTCACGTGCTGGTGACGCTGGAGTCGGACTGGAAGATAACGGTCAGATAATTGCTTGGCTCATAAAATGAGAATGAGCAGTCATAATACCCACAATGATACTGCGACTGGCCAGAACCGGGAGAGTATATCGTTACACGGTCAAACGGACATTCGTAACTACCATACTCAAGGTCTAGAGTGAGGAACGTGAGATAAATGCTATATCCCGGTGGGGTGGTGATGGTATACTGACAGTAGGAGTTGTCGTCGTAATGGTCGTAGGGGAAGTTGGGGGACCAGAATGTTCCCGACAGCCCGGTGAAGTACCCGCCGCACATGCCATCCACGGATGACCATTGCGACAGGACCAGGAGCAGGAGGCTTGCGATGCGAGCTTGGGATTCCATCTTCTTTCTGGATTTTTGCTCGTTTCGATCATGCTTTTATACGTTTGGCGAGCGATAACCGGGAATTCCCCGCCGTACTTTTCGACAAATTTGATAGGCCGATAAATAGGTTTCCGGATGCTTTGAAGGTGCAATCTTCGAGACGCATGCAAGTCTCCAGGTGCAGCAGGTTCCCTCGATCCTGATTGGCTTTCCGCAAATATTCGGGCTTGGATTGCGTAACATTTATGCCCTGCGTCGCAAAATCTTTCCTTGTCGAAGCTTTCCTGCTCATAATTGCTTAAATGGCTCTTCAAGGGTTCAGGGATGTGTCTCGTTTGAATGCAATGGAAAATAGGTCGTCTAACCGCTATTTTAAACACTTGAATGCTTGTCGGGTATGAGAAGTTCATCTCATAATTGATCGATTGGACTTGCCAAAAGAAATCATGAGGAAGAAATTGGGTCTGACATTTATTGACATAGGGCAGATGGCGGAATTCCTTGGATCGTGCGAGTTACCGTAATTTTTGCAGGCCTTTTTAAAGACCTCTAAACCTCGGGTTACCTTAGCTAACCAAATCTGAATTCTTCAAACCGTTCAAATTTCTATGTCGGTTTCCGGATGTTTTGAAGGTGCAATCTTCGAGACGCATGCAAGTCCCCGAGTTCCCTCGATCCTGATTGGCTTTCCGCAAATATTCGGTTTGGATTGCGTAAATCTCTAAATAAGGTGCGAATTTCATCGCAAAATTCCTCCATTTTGGAATTCCTAAACGATCTCATTGTCGCCCCCCTTCGCCGCACACAGCGACGAATGCGCAGGAAACCGAAGGATTGGGACTCTCTCGGATAAAGTGCGACACAGAAAATGTGGAAAGCAGAAAATGCAAATAATGAGCTAGAAGCCAGGAGCACTCCGTTGAGAGATGCTTTCATTTGCTAGCAAACGATTCTGACCTAGAGAAACCTAATATAAGCAAATCAATATATATTCCAAACCCTCCCGAATGGAGCAAAAATATGCCCTTTTCTTCCTTTCACAAAGGGTCACCCCTACAAGTTAGATATAAACAATTGAATTTTGTTTCTTCTGCCGGTGTATTTCCGGTAAACACATTTTTATACCTGCCGTGAACTCGCAGGGAAATAAATTGAGAAGATGGAAACAATAAGATATAGGAAAAAAAAGCTTCTACTCCGTTCTTCGAGAACAGAGGAAAAGGAGGAGGAAAATTGCCAAGTGCAGAAAATTTCCCATGGCTTTTACGCCGAAAAGTTCGTCTTGACACCTGTAAAGACGGAGCGTGCAATCGCTGATTCGGGTCCCACGTGTGATCCGCCTTTTTTTTTTCCACTCAATTCCCGATCCGTGAGACTCCACGCACTTGTAGAGTCCGAAGGCAATAAAATGAAAACGGATGTTCTGACTTTCCGCATTCCTTGGCACGAGTTTTACGCACTTTAATGAAAATACTATTTATGATCGCGAGACTCAGGAATATGTAGCAAGTCTTCATCGTGGAATTCTAGGCGAAGTACGAACAAACAAATTTAACTAACCTTCATCATGAGTAATGAGATGAAAAATTGACCTTTACCATTCCTAACGGAAAATCTGAAGGCTAATCCCGCTCCGCTCCCCGCCGGATTAAGCGACGGATTAAGCCTCCGAGCCTCCACGAAAGATGCGGTGGCTCAGCGGTGATGGGAAGATTAGGATTAGGATTAGGCAAATCTATTTACGGTTCTTGTGCATCAAAATGGGCAATCCTGCAATCGATTATACATATTTCATGGAGCCATGGAGTGCCAATCTGGAATTTGCTGTTAGAAATGGCACAACATGCAGTTTCTGCACTTTCGAACGAATTCTTGAAGCCAAGGATTACCCTGTAGGCACGTGCAGATTTCAGACGTAAACAAACTGATCCGTCTGATTGTTCAATGGAGCTAAAATTCAATTGCAATTTAAAAACAATGAAAGTCACACTCGAACGAAGTTCGCGTCTCGTCTAGAGGAGAAGTCACCGCAGAGATAATTCCACAAATCCAGACTGTATGGAGCCAGAAAAAAAAAATACCGCATTGAAATCCGCGTGTCCGGGGATCTGCGCGAGAGATAATTAAAAAAAAAAATTGGTATAAAAATTATTGCCTTTTCGAGCCATTACTTCCACGTAAATGCCGATGCTTTTCAAAATCCGAGACGGCCGAGCTCACGCCGCGTTTCATTTAGAGTGGTACGACCCCAAAGCAAAGAGCAAAGTGTAGGAAAACCCCAAAGATATAAAAATATTGTGCGAATTCGATTCTTCGATCAATCC